CTGGAGTTGGTTGACCGTGATGGCCTACCAGCAATTCGTCTCATTCCATCCACTGAAGATAAGACGGATATGGCACTTCAGGCAGAAACTTCCTCAGCCCAAGAAGAAGTCAGTGGGAACATGAGCTGAAACGCCACTGACGCTACTTCGCCCAGCAGCACATCGTCTCCGATGAGCTCTATGACTTCCAATTGCATTTCATCCCCGATGAGCGCTTCGATGGACACTTCAAGCCAGGAGAACCGAACTGACAAGTCAGAGATTGAAGAAGAAGACGCGTTGAACTATGTCAACCTGGCCGAATCTCCTCGCAAGGTGATGACTCGATGTCAACGAAAGATGATGACAGAATCCACTGAAGCCGTGCGCAAAGAAGATCTGGCACTCTGGGGCACGCTTCGTCATCATCAAGGCCTACGACGACCTGGACGAGTTCTACCATCTGGATGTCGGTGCTTCATTTTGGAGCTATTTGCTGGAGCAGCCATCTTGACAACAATGGCTGCAGCTTGGGGCCTTCCTGTTGGACGACCCATTGATGTTTGCTATGACCCAGGTCATGATTTGCTGAAGTCTTCCAATCGTCAGGTGATTGGCGACTACATCGACTACATGGATCCCTTCATCTTGGTTGCGGGACCCAAGTGTGGACTTTGGTCGCTTTGGCAGAACATCAATGCCAGCAAGAGTCAAGAATTGGAGAACTATGTCATGGAAGAGCGACAGAGATGGTATCCAGTGTTCAGGTGGCTCATTGACGTCTTCAAGTCTCGCTTGCGAAAAGGGCGGCGCATCATGATGGAACATCCCTGGACCAGTGCAGCATGGAGCATCAAGTGTCTTGAAGATTTTCTGGCTTAGGCCCCTTTCCATGAGGATAGAACGAGCGAGTCGAGGTAGTGAAGATAGATCAATGTCAGTATGGACTCCGTGATGTTCAATATGGACTACCTCACAAGAAAAGCACTGGGCTGATGCTGTCATCCAACTTCACGAAGAAGAGGCTCAACAAGCAATGCGATGGATCCATGAACATCAGCAGTTGGAAGGCAGCAATCGCACACGCCTCGCACAACAATGGCCAGAAGAGCTATGTCATGCCATCTTGTCTGGCGCCTATGAGGAGTTGCTCTATGGGACGCTTCATCAAGCCCTTCCCGTTGAAGAGATCTTTGAAAGGCGTGAAGAGATGGGCGGCGTGGATGGCATCCACTCTGAGCAAGACCTGGCACCTTTGGTCAAGAAGCGCAGAATTGATGAACCTGAACTTCAACGTGAAGAAATGCTTCTGGAGCAATCAGTGCATGAGACCAAAAAGGACCGCCTGGTGATGGAACAAGAAGAAAAGGGACGACGAGGCTGGCTCAGCCTTCCTAAAGAAAAGCGACTTGCTGTTCGTCGCCTTCGCACCATGACTGGTCACTGCTCAAATGCTGCTTTGATGAGAATGCTGGTGGCATCTACAGCTGACAAGGATGGCATCGATGCAGTGAAGTTCTTTCAATGTCAGGTGTGCAAAGAAACAGAGAAAGATCAGCATCCGCGTGTGACAAAGGAGGCAAGACTATCTTCCCCGATGCACTTCAACTATGAGCTTTCAGCGGATGTCTTTGAGATTCATGATAGTGAACATCATCGCCACTCCATCCTGTCGTTGGTTGATTTGGCCACGCATTTCCATGTGGCAGTTCGTGTTGCAGGAGGAGGAACGCCCAGCACAAAGGCATGTGCTGACGCCTTGAATGTCTCCTGGATAGGAGTTCACAACAAAGGAAAAGTGGTCTCCTTACCGTGACGGGGACTACCATCCGGCAGACTGGAGCTCGAGCACCTCATCAAGTTGGAGTTGGAGAACGTCATGGAGGATTGCTCAAGGAGATCATGAAACGTGCCATTCATGAACGGCAAATCAAAGGAGCTGAAGACATTGCAGCTCTGTGCTCAGAATCGGCAAGGGTGAAGAATCTCTTCATCAACCAGCATGGCTATTCACCTTCTCAATGGGTGATGGGCTATCAACCTCAGGACATCACCTCCTTGACCAACAATGACTTGGAGCAGAGTCTTGGCCTACACCAAAGCTTGCTGGACGCCGAAGAAGGAGCGCAAGATGCCTTTGCGAAGCAACTGCTGATTCGCCAATGGGCAAAGGAAGCTTTCATCAAGCTTGACACCTCCCAACGAGTGCGCAAAGCTATGCTCAGGAAGAGCATTCCTATGAGGGGCCCATACCGCTGTGGAGATTTGGTTTCTTTCAGCAAGAAAGGCAAATGGTATGGACCTGCCAGAGTTCTCGCTCATGAAGGAAAATCCTCACTCTGGCTGTTGCGCTCAGGTGTTGCCATTTTGGTGGCAGAGACATCATGCAGGCCGGCAACTACCTCAGAAGTCTTGAAGCGACGTGCTCTTGAACTGCGGCCTGAGAGGAAAAGGAAAAGACAGACAGATCCTCACTGACTGGCAAGAAGATGATGAACTACCTTTTGCAGATGACTACATCGAGGACATCAGCTTCCGCGGAGGGCCAGGAAGATCTCACGAACAAGTCCCGTTCGTGGACTTCCAAGAGGTGATGCAGGACAAGGCGAGACGGGAGTGACTGCTAGCCCCGGAGATGTTGAAATGGATGAAGGAACTACTTCGTCGACGTTTCCATCGTTGCCTCAACATGTTGAACAACCTCACCAAGTACCTCTCCAGAGTCCGCCTGGACTCGAGGTGACAACTTCTTTGGAAGAAGGTGTTGGGACACCAGTTGGAACAATGATTAGGGTTTCAACGATGAGCAGTCAACCGGAAGCAGAGATTACTCCGGCACCAAGCATCTCTACTCATCCTACGTCAGGTGCAGCATCGTCTAGCGTCATCAACGAGCAGGCGACGCCTCTCACACAGTCCCTGCGACAGAGCCCTGATCGTTTGGGTGGAATTTCCCGTCGACGTGAGCCTTCAGCCTCCGACAGCTTTCTTCCGAACAAGACCGAGCGCAAGTACAAGAAAAAGACCCAGAAAGTCGGAGCAGGCCGTGAGCTGAATTATTCCAAAGAGTCGACTCCCGAGATGCAGAAGAAACTTTTGGCCACTCGGGAGAAAGAATGGCGCAACTGGAAGTTCTACAGCGATGGCAAGCTGGTTCCTGAAGATGAAGTGGTGCGCATGATCGCTCAGAACCCGGAGTTGAAGATCATCCCAACTCGATGGGTGGACGTCAACAAGAGCGAGATTGGGGAAGAAGAGAAGCTGAAGTCAAGATTGGTGGCGCGAGGTGATCTTGAAGACAGCAGTTTGATGCGCTGCGACTCGCCCACGTGCAGCCAGACCATGATCTCACTGGCGCTCACCTTGGCAGCTTGTCGAGACACCACCTTGTCGTCTGGTGACATCTCCGCTGCCATTCTGCAGGGCAGCAAGTTGGATCGTGTTTTGATTTTGAACCTTCCCAAAGATGGAGTTCCAGGAGTACCACCCAACATGTACTACATCGTTCCCTCCACCGTCTATGGCACGAAGGATGCACTTTGTGGTTGGTGGAAGAACCTGGATCGCGCTTTGAAGAAGAAAGGATTTCATCCAGTTCCCTATGAGCCAGGAGCCTACACGTTGTTGGATGGGCAATCTGGACTGGCAGGTCTGTTGGTCACTCACGTTGACGACCTGCTATGGACTGGTGGACAGGTCATTGAAGACCTGATGAAAGATGTGTGCAGCCACTACAACTTCGGCAAGGTTGAGAAAGATGAGTTTCGCTACTGCGGTCGCACCATTTCCAGAACTGCAGAGCACATCGTTGTCAAGTGCGACAACTTGATCGACCGTGTACGGCCAATTTGGCTGACCCACGAGCAGAGGCGTCCTGAAGCTCAACCAGTACCCGAAGGAGTTCGAGGACAGCTCAGGAGCATCATCGGCAGCTTGGCATGGTTGGCTCGAGTATGCAGGCCAGACCTGGCCTATGCAGTGTGTCGCATGCAGATGAGCGTGCATTCGGCCACCTTTCGTGATGTGAAGTACGCCAACGATGGGACACAGAAGCCAGAGCGGCCGACTTCTTTGCCTCGCGAGCCCTGACTTCCACGAGTCCAAGAAGGGACAGCTGGCGCTGATCGAATGGCACTCAACGGTGCTGAAAAGGGTCTGCAGATCCACTCTGCAGGCCGAGGCTTTGAGTCTCTTGGCCGGAAGCGAGGAAGCAGACCACTTGAGGTTTGTGCTATATGGCCTTCTACATCCTCATTCTTCAGCCCCTCGATGGCAAGTTCGTGCGATGGACTCAGTGCTGGTGGAATGGGTGACTGATTGCAGGTCACTCCATGACCATGGCAATTAAGCTGGCCTCCACATGGTCAGCGACAAGCGATTGGCCATCGACATGTGTGGCTTGAGGCAGAGCCTATGGCGGCTTCCTGATGAAGAGGTCGGCGACCCGCTGGCCACGGACCGGCTCCCGCAAGCCGGAACGACGAAGCTCACATGGACCTCCACCGACAAGATGTTAGCTGACCCTTCGACAAAAGGGATGAAGCATGAAGGCCTAAAGAGGCTGATGGATGGTTTCGAAGTCGACATGACACCCAGCTTGGATGGATTGCGGACCAAGAAAGATTATGGGTGTGAAATCAGTGAAGTTGACCCGCGTGGAACCACATCCCAACCAGTTGGTCCGTCAATCCGTCCGGCAGGATCGTCATTTGCGCAGGCATGACACGACCGCCTGAGGCTCAAGATGCGGGCGCAAAAGACGCGAGTGCTTTTGAGTCGTGTCAAGTCATTTCAATAGGTGCTGACCCTCAAAATGTTCTTTATGATATGATATACATGTCCGTTGAGAAACCGATAACACCATGAAAAATGAAGCTCACCGTAGGGGATCGAGTTGTCGCTTCTAGTTTTAGGGTGGAGGCACCCGGATTTCACACGCGTCTTTGCTTCTGCGCTGGTTCAAGTGGTGGGCGGGTGGGCGCGCCGTTTCGTTTGCCCAAAAGCGGCAGGGGGGCAGTGCCATGGAGTTAGAAGAGGAGGTGGGAATTTGCGAGATTCTTGATGAAGTTCATGAACATGGAGACGAGCTTGATTCTTTACCTGAGTTGGTTCCTTTAAATCTTGAGTGTGATGATTTTAGCTTCGTTGATTTGATTCAATCTGAGCCAAACCACCTCTCTCATGGACACGAACCTCTGCCTGACGAAGACGGCGCCGAAGTCGAGAGCTTGAGAGAAGAGTCATTTATGCAGAGCATTGATAGTCAAACTGCTGCTTCTCAATCTGTTTTGCCTGGAGCAGAGTGGAACTTGATGATTGCCGGAGCCTTTGCGCAATACAGAAACACGAACGAGAGCTTAAAACTACCTTGGGAGACTGGAGCTATGGGCAGTGTGTTCAAACCTTCCGTTAGTCCAGTGCTGCCTGGTGCAAATGCCCTAGTGGAGAACTCAGAAGTACGTGGCCCCGCAGTCGACAGAGTTGAGCAACCATCGAGTGTGGACCTCAGTGTTCAGCTAGATGCATGCTACATGGAAGCTATTACTTGTACACAAGACTTGGATTACTTCACGAGCAAACGCATTGCTACAGAGAAAGCTTGTGGAATTTGGTTGGATCTGATCGCCTGTAATTGGAACGCAACAAAAATTGGAGCCCAGATTTGCAGTGATCTTTGTGGGGACCCTAGTGGTGAAAGTGCTATTGAAACATTGAAGGCGTGTTTTGGCACCAAGAGTCCAAATACTTTGTTGAAGCGTGCTTCATCATTGAAGAGATTCTTCCAGTGGCATTCCGGGTATTGTAGAGAAAGAGATGCTCACTTTGAGCCAATTCCCCTGGCTGAAGATGATGTCTGGAAATATTTTCACTATTTGCGAGCTGACCGTGTAGCAGAAGGGCGAGGCTACACTACGCCTGGATCCTTCCTTGAAACAGTGAGGTTCACCAAATTCACAGTTGGGTTGAAAGGTGCTGAAGATGTCCTGGAGTCAGGGAGGCTGATGGGTTTTGCAGCACTTGAACGACGTGAGAAAGGACCAACCCGCCAGGCACCCCCAATGGAAGTTGAACATCTTCGTAGGCTACGTGACATTTTGGCAAGTGATGCAAACCTGACTGACAGGCTAGGTGCTGGCACTTTCCTTGACGTTGAGATTGAGGCCAAGAGAAACGGCTGTTTTGTCATTTATACAACTGAACACAAGACTTCACAAGTTGGCTTGAGACGAGAGCAATACTTGCCGCTGGTGGTGCCATGGGATGGTGTGGTACATATGGACTGGTTGAAAATGTACTTTGAGCTTTACAAGCAAGCGGGCCTGAATATCAGCAATGTGCCTCTAGGCCCTTTGTTGCCCGCGCCAAAGATTGGAGGAGGTTTTGGAGCAAGGCCGTTGAGTACACCGGAGGCCTCAGCATGGCTCAAACTCTTGCTTAGAGGAACAAGAAATTCGGAGACTTTCCGCTCGCATTCATTGAAAGGTACCTTGTTGAGCTGGTGCGCACGCTCGGGTATGGATCGTGAGGTCAGGGCCGTGCTAGGACACCATTGTTCGTCCTTGACCGGGAGCGATGTTGTTTACGCCAGAGATCTTCAGACCAGGCCTATTCGGAAACTGCAAATGCTGTTAAAGAACATCCGGCTTGGAATGAGTTTTGAGGACATTGCAGAGCACGATTGATTTCGACCACCCCATGTGTTCTGCCACCGAGGCCATGTGCTTATACCCCGCCTTTGTTGCAAGGACCTCCTGTGCTCGAAAAAGAAGCTCTGCCAGCTCATGTCGATGAAGTTGATGGTGCTGCAGAGATCATGAATCTCGAGGAGGACCTGAGGAGTGTGAAAGAAGAACATGACCTTGAGAGAGAAAATTTGTCACTGGCTGAACAGCTAAGTCTTTTCCCATTGGGTATGGTCAATGGAGGCCTCATTGAAATCGAGTCTTCGAGCGGCAGTGATTCAGAGTCAAGCTCTGACACTAGCGATGAAGAGCCTGGGGCACGAAGTCGAGAGCCAGAGAGCTATGTTGAGCGAGTGCCAAACGGGCAAACCTATGTGCGAAACACCAAGAGTGGCCTGGTGCACAGCGCTAAGACTTCAGAGAGATCACAAAATTTGGAATCAAGATTGCAGGACATTTTGCTGTGCTAGAAAAGTTCATTCATGTCAAGATGCCAAAATGCCTGAATTGTTTCCCAAAGGATCCTGACAGGATTCGCAAGCTAGATGACCTAGTGGCACACTTGGACTTGGCGTTTAAGCGGGCAAGGGACAAGAACAAGGAGTAGGCGTTCCGCCTTGAGAAAAATTGCGGAGAGCCGCGAGTCAGAGCATTGCTCTGGGAGAATCTTGTTTGAAGAGAGGAGATGAGCGTTGCTCATGTGCAAGTTGCAACAAGTTTTTTCTTTGGAGCGAAGGCTCAAGGAATAGAGTGTGCCATTGGCACTTAAGCAAAAGAGAATGCTTTGCAAAGAAACATGAGCATATCTTTGATATGAGGTGTACAAAAGAAAACGCAAACGCCAAACCGACGCTGTGTCTGATACGGTAAACTTACTTGCTTGGTGAAAGGCCCAAAATTTCCTTTCAAAAGAGAAGTGACCCAGAAGGGCCTGTTCGAGCCTGAAAATGGTGAATCCAGGTCACTTTGTTCTTGCCTCAACTTGGAACTAGGTTTCTTCTTCTTGTTCACTTGTTTTGTGTAGTTTCTTTGCTGTGAGCGCAATGGCAAACCTGATAGATAGTGAGGCCCGCTTCCAATCCAGGGCACTGGAGGTGGGAATGTCTGACGGAGTCCGACAGGCTCTTCGAGATGGTGGCATTCGGACCATGAGCCATCTGGCATTTGCAATCGGCCAACCAAACCAGCCACTTACAAACGACGAAGTAGGAGCTTTTTTTGAGAACCCTCCTAGCGAGGGAGGCGACCTTGCAGGAAGTTGCATTGATCAAGAGGATCACGTTCGAAGCTCAGACTTACCTAGTCGCTTTTTCACGCCAAGGAGTAGAGCAGCAAGATGACACACTACCAAAGAAGATTCCTTTTTTTGCCGAGAGGCAAACACGCATGGATGCTTTGAAGACCCGCCTGACGGGTGTAGCCATTAAGGGTGAACTTGAGCCTGCCCATGTTGTTTTGGAGCGAGCTTGTCAGATGTATGACCAACACATCATAAAGTATTTGGAGCCTTCTGTTTGCATTAGTCGCACCTATGAGATCCAAGGAAGCAAACAAACGAGAGAGTTAGCCTTTGGGAAAGGCACAATTGTTTTGAAGAACCAGGATGAGAAGCTTAGCACCGTGACAGACAGCGAGTTGAAACTCCACTTTGCTTTCACTCGCCGTGCAATCGCTTTGGAGTTCGCCAGGGTCATGAGTTTTGATCAGCGCAATGAGTGGGAGACCTTTTTAGTAGAAGCACTGCATCGTGAGAGTCCTCCGGGATACAACAAGCCCTCTCTGGCCCAGGTTATTCAATGTGACAGAGCAGCCTGGGCGAGACTTGCAAGCACCGTGAACTCTGTCAAGCAATTGATTGACGGTAGGTATCCTGCGGGCGAGGCCCTTTTGGCCCTTCGAGCTGACCCGAACATCACGCTCTACCTGGCACGAGAATTCCCAAAGCCAGGACCTTATGGTCATCAGTTCGAAAAAGGCAAAGGAAAGAAAGGTAAAGAGAAAGGTAAAGGAAAAGGGAAAGGCGGTGCTCCGCCAATGCCTCGTCAGCTGATCGGCAAGTGGCACAAAACGCCACAGGGTGAACCTTTGTGCTTTGCATACAACACAGTCGATGGATGCCCAAATTCAACTACAGTGAAGCCTGGGGAACGATGCGCCCGTGGATGGCATTTGTGCATGGAACCCAAGTGTCAGGCAAAGCGCAGCCTCACTGAGCACAAACAGTGACATAAGCCTTCGCAGAATGAATTCAGGTCTTGGCCTTCAATGCATGTTGAGCAGACCTTCATGATTGAAGTGTTCTGTGGTTGTGCGATCCTTTGTGCCACGGCTAAACGGCATGGTCTAGCTGGATCGATTGCAGTTGATAAAGAAAGAAAGAAAGAAAGAAAGAAAGGTGCTCGTAGTTCTGTGTTCCAACTCGACCTCAGGAACTCTGAAGATCGCTTGTTGCTGGAGCATTGGATGGATTCACCCCTTCTGTTGTGGATGCATTTTGCACCCGTTTGCGGAACGGCCTCAAGGGCCAGAGAGATTAGAGTGCATTGGTCAGATCCGAGACCACTGCGCAGCAATGAACTTCCGCGTGGGCTGCCCAGCCTATCCGGGAATGACAAGCAACGTGTTCTCATCGCTAATGACCTCTTTGAATACACTTGCAAGCTTTTCAAGAAAGCTGTACAAGCGGGCATCTTAGCAACAGTTGAGAACCCAAAGAATTCATACTTTTGGGTCACAGAATGGTTCCTGCAACTGATGAAGACCTGCAGGTTGTTTGTCGCTGACTTCCACGTTTGCATGCTCGGCGGCACTCGAAACAAGTGGACATTGTGGCGAATTTCCAAGAAATTCAGCAGCTCTGCATACAGTGTGACAAGTCTCATGACCACGAGCCCTGGCGCTTCGCCCAAGATTCGGAAGGAAAGCAAGTCTGGGCCACAAGCCTGGAATCAGCATATCCTAGGAAGATGTGTATAGCCTTGTGCAATCCGTGCTTCAAGTTGCCCATTCGTTCGGCTTGATCCTGCAGCCTCAATCCATGAGAGACATTCATCATCTTCACTTCACCCCCTGTTGAAAGCCCAGGCTGCCCAGGTGTCCAGTGGACTTCAACCCCGACGGAAAGTGCCACCGTTGGTGCCTGAGTTTACTGCTACAGCTTCTTTTCATGCTGAGGATTTGTCGCAGATTCCATGTTCCTTGATGCAAAAGCTTCCCAAGAGCATCACCTTGCGCACATTCGATGGACAGGCTGTCAGCATTCCGGCCGCTTCGCGTTTTCTTCGTTTTGCTAATTTCCTGCCGCGCAAAGAAAAGGGGTCGAAAGCAGTGCGGAGGAAGTTGGTTTGAGTGATGTTTTAGGGAGAGGTCAGAGTGAGCTTGACCCTCAACCCCAAGGGTACAAAGTTGTCTTTGGCCTGCCGTGGAGTTATGAAACGTTCATTCAGCAAGCGTGCAAAGCTGGTCACCCCCTTCTGGGAGATCATCAAGTCTCACCAGACTTCAAAATTGCACTTGACAAGAACTTGGAATGGAATGACCACCAAATGAGTTCTTACAGAGCGGATTGGTGCAAGCGTTGGTTGAAGAAGGCAGTTGAAATGAAGGAAGCAGAAAGACTGGATGCCGACACACGCCCTGTACATGTTCGAGCCAACGCAAAAGACAAAAAGGTTCTGCTAACAGAACAAATTCTTACAGAGTTGGGCTATAAAGATGTTCAGGTCCTGCAGATGTTGAGAAAAGGTGCAACTCTTGCTGGTGACATCGAGGAATTTTTCGGTTTTTCAAAAGCAGTACAAACCTTGCACGCAGACGATGGGTCAGCTGCACAAAGGCGCGACCCTCAAGAATGCAGCCATCCTGAACATGACCAGGAGTTCGGGTGACCGAGCTCTTGACGAGCAACTTCTGGCAGAGACCCGAGAAGAAATTAGGAAAGGGCGGGCAATAGGCCCGTTCAAACTGGAGGAGCTTGAGAAGGATGCCATTGTTTCCAGAAGGTTTCTGTTGCAGCAGGGCAGCAAGGCTCGAGTGATCGACGACTATTCCGTCAGCGGAATCAACGATACCTGTGCGGCTCACAATAAAGTGGATCTGCATATGATTGACACGCTGGCGGCCTTGACAAACCAGTATTTCAGGCACTGTGCAGAGAGGCAACTTGACAGTTCCTTGGTTGCCAAGACATATGACCTGAAGAGTGCTTACCGACAGATTCCTATCCGGGAGTCCCATCTCAAGTATGCATATTTCAGCATCTTCAACCATGAGACGGAGCAGGCTGAAGTGTATCAGATGCAGACTCTGCCTTTTGGGGCAACTCATAGTGTATACTGTTTTCTGCGGCTTGCAAAGATGCTTCACTTCATCGCTGCGAGAGGACTGTTTGCAATGAACACCAACTTCTATGACGACTTTGTCCTTGTTTCCAGGGCGGAGACTCAGGACAGTGCAAAGCATGCAATGGAGCTGGTCTTCTTGCTAACAGGTTGGGAGTTTGCCCGGGAAGGGAAAAAGAAAACGGAATTCTCCACTCTGTGCCGCGCACTCGGTGTTGTGTTTGATTTTTCTTTGTCCTCGGAGCAAAAGTTGATGATCGAGAACACTGAGCAACGAAAGCTGGAACGAGGCACGTTGACGCGTCCCAAAGCTTTGGTGCTTAGAGGTAAACTAGGATTTGCAGACAGCTTCGTCCACGGTCGCTTGGGGATCTTAGTGCTAAGTAAACTAATCGAACACGCCTACGGAGCCCAAAAGCAAATCGACGAGAGCTTGCGAGATGCCCTTCGTTTCATGCTTGAACCCTTGAACTCAGGTAAACCTAGGGTGGTTCGTGCTCACAGGCTTGCACAATGGTTCATCTACTCCGATGCTTCATATGAACAGAGCAGCAAACCGGGAGGCATTGGTGGTGTCCTTGTTAATGACCGAGGTGAGTGCGTCTCTTGGTTTGGGTTCAATGTTGACTCTGAGACTTGTCTAGAGCTTGGTGCCTCCACCAAAGACACCATCATTTATGAACTAGAATTGTTTGCCGGAGTCCTTGCGTTAAAATTTTGGAACGGCAAAAATTTCGCGTGGTCTTCAAGTATGGTTCGGAGACAATGAGGCCGTCAGGTTCTCCTTAATAAAAGGCTCTGCCGAAGGTGAAGTTGCGCAAACCTTGATGCGCATCCATCTAGAGCATGAAGCCTTGAATAGCTCTCAAGCCTGGTTCGCTCGCGTGCCTACTGAAGCCAACATAAGCGACTTCCCTTCCAGAGGGGAAGCGCGTCCTATGCTCAAACCTGAATTGTCCGAGAGCTTGCCAGCCAAAGACTTGTTCGATGACATTAGGCAGTGTTTGTGTGATCTTGGGGTGCCAGCGTTCGAAGGGGGACAGGCCATGCATTGCACCCCAATATCTCGAAAGAGAAAAACGGAGCGCTGATTTCTTGCCTTGTGAAATCAAACGTTGAATTGACAATGAAGCTCACCGTAGGGGATCGAGTTGTCACTTCTAGTTTTAGGGTGGAGGCGCCCGGATTTCACACGCGTCTTTGCTTCTGCGCTGGTTCACGTGGTGGGCGGGTGGGCGCGCCGTTTCGTTTGCCCAAAAGCGCCCACCCACCCACACCTTGAACAATACTCGCTTTTGTGCATCGACGCTCTTCAGTTCGAAAGCAGTGCGTTCCAAGCCGCACGCCCCAAGCAAGCAGTTCGTCACAAGACCAAGTTTCACAGAGCCAAACCCAGTGGCCTACAGGCCATGCATTGCACCCCAATATCTCGAAAGAGAAAAAAGGAGCGCTGATTTCTTGCTTTGTGAAATCAAACGTTGAATTGACAACAAATATAACAACCAAAGCAAAGATTCCCCGTGATGGTTTTATTGTTCCCTGTTAGAATGCGGGAGGCTGTTTGAGATATATATCTATATTCCGGGATTCGTGCAAATTTCTTCGCGTTTCCATGTGTATATTAAAACAAATATATGGTTGGAACTATACAAACAGTGTTGTCCGCTTGCCACTAAAGATGTGTCCGACTCATTCCAGGCAAAAAGATATCCTTCGTGACTTGACATCCATGCCATAGAGAGGATGTGAAAAAACATATATATATATATTTCTCTCTCTCTCTCTGCACACACACATACCTTTGATCAAATGTGCCACACGCACAGGTACTCAGTGTATGCAGGCAGAACAACTTGAGTGAACAACAGTTTAAACTGTGTATGTATTTACCAAACTTGTCCTGCACCTCACTGGAATCGACGCAAACCTTTCCTGTATATACATAGTGTAGTGTTTTTGATCCTTCCCGCAGCTCAGCTCAAACAGCTTCCTCTGGGCCCACAGTTTGTTTCCAGAATCATGGCGAAGGACAGCAATGTCCAGGCCTTCATGGTGG